TACAGAGTTAAGACATCACTTAAATTGAATACGGACGGCTCTAATAAATAAGGTGCAACACCAATGATAACTAATTTGTAAACTACAGTGATGTGTTGGTACCTACGTAAAAATGATTCTAGCAGCTACCAACGGTTCTAAGGAAAAGAACCAGTACCTACGTAAGAACCTACCTAAGAACTATAGTACATCCGACCAATTAAATACATTAATATCTAGTCCCGAGGTTATTGATCACTTGCTTTTGGATTTTCTCGTAAAAAGTTATAGCATAAACTTATCGGTGTCAGTTTGAAAAAAAACAACCTTACCCAAACAACTTTTTGTTATTTAATAGATTACGCATTCTCTAAACAATGATTAGTATATCTATTAACATTATAAGGAAATGTGCCGAAAATCACACAATGTTGGGGTTTTGGTCATTTGTAATTATATTTCTTAAGTAGGTAGGCCATGTATTCTATGGAAAAGTACCGGTATCAAGGATCGTCGTCAAAAAGGTTGTTATGAATAAATATGTAGGCTTACGTACCCAAGATATGAGCTATGGGCCTATTGGCTGTATGGTCCAGCGATTGCATCACACGGTGAGTAGAAACAGAAAGTGACACATTGGATAAGCGAGTTTAGCACTTCCTCTGTTAAACCTCTGTTACAATCACCCAATGCAGTTGTGATTTTTTTACCTTACACTTTACACAACCGCCATTGAAGCGCCGTCAATGAGTGGAAACCTTTTTTGTAAGCTATTGGCGACGATCATTTCAGTGTCCCAGCCCTATACAACACCATAGATAAAACATACTCCCTTACAACACTGATTCAAGGTCTTCTTTCTGGTTGTCAAAACTCAAGAAACATTTTATACTCAAAGAATTTCTGGTTCCGATTTGGACGATGTCTAGTTATTTAGTTTCATTTACGGTTACACTATTAGACTATATTATTGCATTTGCGATTAATTAAATCCGTTATGTAAGAAAAACGTTTTTAATCTCACTTGGTTGGGATTTGCTTTCAAAACGTGATTCGAAATGGTTGCGGTATTTGTAAACAACATATTTGTAAACATATCATTGACAGCTAGAAAAAATAATCTTGATCCGAACAGCTGTTCGTTATTTCATAGACAATTATGTGATAAAAATTGAACGAAAATTTGACAAAAATCGCACAAAACTGCATTTTTGAACGTCCGTAATTTTATTTACAAAGTAGTGAGGCTATATTTAAATCACTAAAGACACTCTCGCCAATCCAGTGGATACATTAAAATGACTTGGATCTTGATAGGTACTCTGGTTTTCACGGAGAAGATTGCGTAAAATGCCATCTTGAGTGTTACAGACAAAGGGAAAGACAGACAGACAGACAGACAGACAGAAATAGAGATAAGACTCGTTTCTGCTTCTTTAATGTATAAAACGTAAAAATAACCTAAAAGTATATAATTCGGAGCAAAGTACAGACAAAACTCTAATTTTATTTATATAGATATGAATTGAACGGATGGTGTTTTTGGCCTCTAGGGACCTCAAAAAAAAACAAAAATCGGTCCCGGGTCCAGGTCTTACCATGTGTACTACGGTAATAGTTTATTCCCTATATGGGAAATTCGCTAAAATTAAAACTAAGGGCAAAAATTCGACCAACTGCCGTGTAGACACAATGACAACGCCACCCCGCGCGGCGGTGTAGTGAATTGACATCGAGACAGCGTTTTAGATGCGCAGAATGTACTGTGCATTCACCTGTAGCCACCCCCCTACCCAATGACACGTGAACTATCGAATCTAGGCGGGTTCTAGGCTAGGCCAGTTCTCTTCCCTGTCCTATTGTGCGGATCGCTGATTTTTGTGAGATTGTCAAACTTGTAATCTTCATTACCGTACTGTATTTAATAGTTACGTGTGTTAAATAACTTAGTAAAATGAGTGCAAAACGAAAACGTGTGGTCCTATCACTAAAGGACAAATTGGAAATAATAAACCAACTAAAAAAGGAGTGGCGGGAAAGGTATTGGCGGAGAGATTTGGTGTCGAGGCGGCTACGTTTACTGACATAAAAAATAACATCTGACATAAGATTTTTAAGTTTTGTGACTATGTTGGAAAGTGATGATGGATGCTCGTCACGAAAAGTTATGAAAAAGGCCAATGATGAACAGCTGGAAAATGCTGTCTTTTCTTGGTTTTTGTAACAAAGATCTATTGGACAACCGATTTCAGGACCTATTTTATGTGAGAAAGCACAAATGTTCAGTGAAAAAAATGGGTGTAGCTGATTTTAAGGCAAGCACAGGGATACGCAATTTCAAGAATTGGCACGGAATTCGGGAATTGGATATTGCCGGTGTAAAACTTTCTGCTGATAGTGAAACTACTAATAAATTTGTGGAAACATTTAAAAAAGAAACAGAAATGTACGACCCTGATCTTGTGTATAATGCTGACGAGACTGGTTTGAATTGGAAAGCGTTGCCAAGAAAAACCATAGCATCTAAAAGAGAACAAAGTGCTCCTGGACACAAAGTCAGTAAAGATCGTGTCACTAATAACTCTACCGGTCTCTAAGGTCTGCGCTAACTCTACCGGTACCCATCGCCTTCCTTTATTATTGATCAGAAAAGAAGCCGCAGGCTTTTAAAAACGTAGCCAACTTACCAGTGACCTAAACTAATCAGAAGAATGCTTGGATTGAGAGCACTATTTTTTTTTTGGAGTGGTACGATAAAACTTTTAATTTTCAAGTGAAAAAATTTAAACAGGAAACAGGAAAAAAGGGAAAGGTTTTACTTATCATGGACAATGCGCCGACACATCCTTCACTGGAGCTTCTCGTGAGAGAAAAGGGGAGATTTAAATGTCTCTTTTTACCTCCTTATGTGACAAGTCTGCTCCAGCCCATGGATCAGGGTGTAATTGAGTGCACAAAACGTCTTTACAGACAGCAGATGCTTCGTAAATTGCTCCTAGCTGAAGAGAATGACGAAGAACAAGTTTTGGATTCTTACAAAAAAATCAACTTGAAAGACTGTTACTACATGATTGCAGACTCCTGGAACATGGTTAAAAGTGTTTCACTTAAACAGGCTTGGAACAAAATAAATGGTACGTCGACAAAAGAGCAACTCGAGTTAGAAAAGCAAGCTAAAAAACGAGAACTAACTGCTGGCGTTGATGAAGACAGACCGGGATTGCCGTCAGTTGGGGAGTTAGTAAACATGGCTAAGGAAATTGCGGGTTGTTCGGAGTGTGATGTCGATGATATGGAAGAGTGGTTGGAATGTGATAAGAATGATCAAGGATACCAGATAATGACTGATGATGAAATCGCAGTGAGTGTCATGGATGAACACGAAAAAGAAGATGAAAACAATGAGACCACAGGAGATGAAGAGGCAGGAGACGAAAGTGTACCATCACATAGTGAGGCGTTTATGTGCTTTGACAACGCCCTCAAATAGATGGAGCGGCAACCAGAGTGCGACGGTGTACAGCTTCTTGCCGTCTGGCACCTGCGTGATTTAGCTGCGCGGAAACGAGCTACAAGGTCACGGCAACTTACGCTAATTGAGATGTACAAGTAAGCATTGTTAAAGAACTTTAAAAAAAATTTTATAGTTTACTTTAGTTTTATTTTTATAAATATCAGTATTTGTTCCTCTACTGTACTTCAATTCAATTTAACAGCTCTATTATGTCTAGTTATCCACTCAATAAAGTTCATTCTTTGTGTAACACTTTGTTTTTCTTTATTACCATTCTGTATCTGATTATCCGAATTCTTGATAATCCGAATCGACCCCGGTCCCAATTAATTAAGATAATCGGCGTTTTGCTGTATATCGATTGTCATTGCTGTATTTGTTTCTTGATTCGGTTATTTTCCACGGCAACGATATGATATGAATGTTTTAGTTTTGTGTCATAGACGATGACTTATCGACCGCTGTAACGTCGCTGGGAAAGAGTAGTGTTGAAATTATTACGTCGTGGGAAACTAATGATGATTTAAGTAACCTGTAACCTTATGAATATTTAAACCTCAGTCTCAAACGTCATTATATACAGTCTATCTGGAAATGTCAGATATTTAACGGATAGTGTCAGATATCAAATTTGGGCTCGGTTCGGTTACGGATATCCGCACACCTCTAATTTGTATGTTTTGTGAAGAAATATTTAAAAAAAGTCAATCGAAGGTTAACAAAAGGAATAAGTAGACTACACTTGTTCCCATAAATGATATTTGTACAATGAACAGTTTTCCGGTTTTCAGTTCTGCTGGACATCCCCATAGTCTTTTATTAGCAGAATATGTTGTACTACTCATTTCTTTAAGGATGGATAAAGCTAAGTTTATTGAAACAACGTGACACCATGTCCATGGTGGATTGGTTAGTATTTATTATGTGTTTTAAATGTTTTTATAACCCTTTACGGACAAATGGCGAGTATAGGTCGCCGGGTGCCATTTTCCCCACTGCTCGAATGGCGACCAATACTGGCCCAAAAATGAAAAAAATATTAAACCTCAAAGGGTTAACACATAAACATATACTAGGTTTTTCAAATTTAAAGCATCAATAATAATCATGCTTAAAAAACTGAAATATTTTTTACCCATTTTAGGCTTTTATTCTAAGTATGTTTTCTCTCATTTATGAGCTTAAACCCTGCAAAATATTTTTCAACAACTTGAGATTTTTTTACAAGTTGAAAAATTGGATTTTCAAAAGACTGACCTTTCCAAAATATTTCAAGAAGTATATTTCAATATACTTCTCAACAATATTTCTCAACAATTTCAGATTTTTTAGCAGGTTGAAAATTTGGATTTTCAAAAGACTGACCTTACAGAAAAATATTTTGAGAAGTAGATAAAATTGTAAAAATTTTGTTTGTACCAAATCATTGTCATTTTCTAATTCTTAAAGAGACTACATTTACTATTTCTTTTGACTAAATGTAAATTAGATGTGTTGTAAAGGATATCAGGAAGGATATGAGATCCCTCGGACCACTGCGATGTTCCAATGTAAGATGTCCAGCAAAATCATCAGTCACTAAGTTGGGTTCACCCCCAGGCAAGGCAGCACACACGGGGCATACCTGTGAAAAACAATTCTGTAAACATGCTGTCAAACGATTGAGGCCAGTAACACTTTACAGGGTAAGACGCAAAGTTATTTACCACTTCAAACGAAGTCTCAGAGTGATCGGAAGTGACATGCTCTTGCAAAGCTGTTTCTGTAAATCCCATTTTGCCACAGTACGGACAAGTGAACGACTGAGGCTGCTCAACTGTCAGGGCCTCTCCGCCGTAGTACAAATCTGAAAAAATCAATTCAATAGTTGTTGTTAGAGGTTGTCAGTTTATTAAATACAGCTAGGGTAATAATTTGAATCAGCTGTTAAATATTTTATAAACTTTAGTCTTTGCTGTTGTTGTTTCATTGCTAAGATTCAGTTATGATTTAAATGCTCATTGTTGTATTGTTGTGAGTTCAAAATTGGAAATAAAAAAGTGTGTTGAAAGTAATAGCTCTCTGATTTAACAGTTTTTAAAGCATTTACTATTTTATGGTATTTAAATCTAAAAGTTGATGTGATTCCAACATTATTGGCAACCGTGACAGGACTAAAACAGTGCTAAAATGGATATATCAAAACTCAAAAGTAAATCGAAGTAGAGGAGTCATCAGAAGAACATCCACTAAAACAAGGACTGAACTTGAAGGTTTGATTAGTAGTGAAGATCAGGATTGAACTAAGATTGAAGCTTTAATGGATGTTTTAGCTAGGTACTCAATATGAATCCATAGCGAAACATGACTCAGAAGTGTTTGAACCCATGTTGTCAACTGACTGAAGTAAACGACAATGACATGGGCAAGGAGATGGACAGCCAAAAGGACTAAGCATTAGCTTTTCACGTAGCTAAGAAATCTGTAGAGAAACTACGAGGGCTATCCAGAAAGTATATTACGTTTTTGTCTATATCCGCAAGGGGTGGGGCTTGCGCGGCCATCTTGATGTCAGTTCATTATGCAGCTCAGTCGGCATCTAGCTGTGCTAGTGAGAGGTTTCTGCTGTACTTCGTTGAGCTACTGTGACAGTTTAAAATGTCTGTGTTAATTGAAAATGCCGCAAACTGTGGAGTGCGTGCAGTTATAAGGATTTTAACTGCAAAAAACTGTAAACCGATAGAAATCTATCAGCAACTATGTGAAGTTTATGGGGAAAACATGATTACTGAAGGTGGAATGCGTAGGCGGGTCATAAAATTTGAAAATGGCCGAACTAACGTTCACGACGAAGAGTGAAGTGGAAGACCCAGCATTGTGACTGCTGAACTTGTCGAAAAAGTCAATGCCGAAGTCCGTAAAATTTGAAAATTCACAATCACGGAACTCTCTATGGGTTTTCCACAAATTTCACGAAGTTTGTTGCACGAGATCATAACCGAAAAACTTGGTTACCACAAGTTTTGTGCAAGATGGGTACCGAAAATCTTGAAAGAGTCAAAAAACTCAGCAAATGGCTGCAGCACTAACGTTTCTGGACGCTTACGATAAAGATGGTGACTCACTACTCGATCGCATCGTTACTGGTGACGAAACATGGGTTAAACATGTGAACTGCAAGACGAAATTGCTGTCAATGCAGTGGGGGCACACAGATTCCCCCCAACCCAAGAAATGCATGCAAACGATGTCGGAAGGTAATGGCGACTGGTTTTTGGGATAGGGAAGGTGTAATTTTTGTAGACTTCCTGGAAAGAGGAACTACAATAAACTCTTAAAGATATTGCCAAACTCTGCAAAACCTTAAAAGAGCGATACAAAACAATCGCAGGGGAAAGTTAAGCTCAAAGATCCTGTTGATTCACAACAACGCCTGGCCCCATACGGCTAATGTCACTCGTGAAGTTCTTGAATCTTTTAGGTGGGAGTTGTTTCCTCATCAGCCGCACAGTCCTGACCTGGCACCGAGTGACTTTCACTTATTTCCAGCAATGAAGAAGTGGCTGGCTATGCAGCGTTTTGATGACGACCCACAGCTACAGGAAGAGGTAACCAAGTGGTTGAAGACGCAGGCGGCCGAATTCTACGACGAAGGAATTTCTAAGCTCGTTCGTCGCTATGACAAGTGCCTTAATTTTAATGGTGATTATGTTGAAAAGTAGAATTTAAGTGTGTCTTTCATTTGTATACAATAAAATATTTTTCCAAGACTTTGTTTATGTTTAATTCCAAAACATAATCAACTTTCTGGATAGCCCTCATACAACAGATAGGCCTAGAGGGTAAACGATGTTAGAGGGTAAACGATCCAATCCGATGGTAAAAGGAGTCCTGGATCTTAAATCTATATGCAGAATGATGATTCTTCTAAGTGAGATTTATAAACTCCCCATTGCAAATTGCAGAGTTGTATGTTCTTATATTATTCAAATAGTTTTTTGAACGTTTTTTTGTTTCTTTTGATACATACTTTATTTATAGTCTATGTAGCCCCATTGATAAGATTTTCTATGAACTCAGAATGCTGATAAGGAGCTAATTTTACCTTCCCCTTGTGACAACACAAGGAGAATATATTCATAGATTTGCAGTAGTGAGAAATCCAATTTAACGACCCCAATTCAAAAGAGTCTGCGTTTTATTTTTAGGAACTTCCAGAGCATATTTAACACCATCACAGCTATTTACTTTTTAATTCCATGGTTCTCCACATTTTTTTTTCTGGTTGTCTCTTTACACACATTTAATGACTTACTTTTTCTTTTTCTTTTTGTACTTTTCATAATCTGGGGATTATGATAAAGTTGTATAACGCTGTAATGACCCGATTCAACTTTGCCTTTAAACATCAAGTCACACACTTTTTCGCCAGGACCGAAATTGTAAGTGACAGTTTCTCAAGCAATTTCCTAGTGTACTCGAAAAAATAGTTAGGAGGGCATAGTTCACTGATAAACTGTAGTTTCATTTGCATCTAATTTCATTTACAACACTACAATAGAAATAATGGAAAGGGAGAGGGAGAAGAATGATACCCACAAACAACCTGTTACTGATAAGACGCACCGACCATAGTGCCCGGCAGTCTAGACGTAAACTCCCGCCGGTCACATCGTTAAAGCTAGGCCTAGGCATGCGTGTTACGTTTTTTAAATGTTTTTTATGTTTTGTAAATATTGTGATCTTTGACGACCTTCAGAAGAAGTGACAATGTCCTTGGGAAAACCTGAAGAAGGCTCCTTTGTGAGCCGAAACTAGTTGTTTCACAACCGATTGGATTATCAACATTACAGGTATTTAAACCACTTAAACTGTAGTTCCACGTATCCAGAGTACTCGCTATCTCGAGAAGGTAAAGTTTGGTACTGTTGAACGTTAAACACTGATCTTGAGTAAGATTAATCACCTACGATAAAATGTTTTTATGTATCCCACTCATTAGCAATTATTTCTACAACTTGCAAGCGGATTTCCCATGATTGTTGTGGTGGAATAAATGATTTTGATTGGAACAAACAGTTTCCGTCACCTACTATCGGTATTATTTAACGTTCCATACTCTAACTTAAACTCAATTACCACTTTCCTTTGGATAATTTCGCATGAAAAGTAACACATTTTTCAAAAATACAAAATTTACATTGTAGTTTGACATATCCAGCGTACTCGCCATCTCTAGAAAGTAGGGATGGTCAAGTCTCGAAATTTCGGAAAATTTTCGGGAAATTTTCAATCTTGTTACACGATACGAGATTACTTTTTGGCCGAGATTTTTATCGAGACGAGAAAAAAAAAAAAAAAAAAAAAAAAAAAAAAAAAATTAAAAACGCCTGCAGAAAGTCAATGCAATACCCGCAATACAGGAGCGTGTTGTAGTTGCGTTTCTTTTCGAAGGCGTTCTTATTTAATTAATTCTTTTAATGTAAATATTACTTTAATTCTTTTAATGTAAATATTACTTTCATTATTTTAATAATATTACTTTAATAACATTTGAGAAGTTTTGTTAAGTGTAAGCAGTGTGAGGAATGTTTTATTACTAAAAAAAAAGTGAAAACAAGTAACTATTTTATAAAAATTAATATTGCTTTTATTTTATGAATTATTTTATTTTAGGATAAGTTGAACTCTATCCTAACTGATATCACCTACTGTTTCCTAATCGTAGGCATTTTTAATAAGTTAGGCGTGATTAATAAAAAAATGTTATGCTGATGTTATTTAATGAAAGATTGTAAATATTCTTGCCTATTATCATTATTTTAGTATTTAAACAGTCATCTAACAATGTTACAAAATCAGGTAAAAATTTTTTGAACGTGCATTTCCCGTTGTGTATGAGAAGAGAAATCTCGTCTCGATCTCGTCTCGACATTTTATGAGAAATAAAAAATCTCGTATCGTCTCGTCTCGAACTAAAAATCCAATCTCGTCCATCCCCACTAGAAAGTAAAGTTTGGTACTGCTTAACGCCAAACACTGACCTTGAGTAAGATTAATCATCTATGATAAAATGTTTGTATGTTTCCCACACATTAGAAGTTTTCTGTACAACCTGCAAGCGGATTTCCCTATGATTGTTCTGGTGGCCGTAGAGAATAAATTAAATTATAATATAATTTTACAATTACCTCGTCACAGCTCCGTAGTTTCCGTATATATTACGGCCGTTTCGGCATCAAAATGCCATCCTCAGGTACATACATCCACCGGATTTGGCGTCGTCAAACTTGATACACACACGTAACACAATAACAAACATTTAAAACATAAAAAAACGAAAGACAGGCCTGTTGCGCACATGATGAGTACGTGTACGGAAGCTGACTGGACAACTGCTAGTTCGTTCCAGCCGTTGCGGTATTATCTCTTGGACTTTGATCCCTTGGCTTGCTTCGTTTGATGATGTTATTGAAAATAGAGTAATCTTTAAATTGTAGTTGGTCATTTAGTATGGATTCATTGTTGTATTTTATTTTATGGGCTTTATAAATCTCATATTCCTCAAGGGTGTCTAGTCTATTTCCATTAATACAGGCATGCAGAATTTCTAAGCCATTGTCCAAATCAAGTAAGTCGTGATTATTGTCAACCAGGTGTTGTGCGAAAGTCGATTTTTGTTTGTCAGTTTTTCCGTTAGGGCGATGTTCTTTGTATCTGTGGTGATGTGAACATTATCACCTGATAATATTTATTATTTGATTTGTTTGTAAATATTGTATTTGTTCTTAACTAAAACATGGTTGTAATTTTGAATGAATAAAAGCCATACTTTTGGTTTACTAAGTCTTTCTTACAACAATTTTA